TAGAGAAATAGAGATTGTACCATAGACTGGTAGAGAGTTAGAGATTGTACCGTAGACTGATAGAGAAATAGAGATTGTACCATAGACTGATAGAGAGTTAGAGATATAAGTACCATAGACTGATAGAGAGTTAGAGATATAAGTACCATATACTGATAGAGAGTTAGAGATAGTACCATAGGCTGATAGAGAGTTAGAGATTGCACCATAGACTGATAGAGAAATAAAGATTGTACCATTGGCTAATAGGGAGTTAGATATGGATTTTCAATGTTGATGTCTCTAACTTAAGGATCATAAGAGAACCTGCTCTTTGAAAACATTTTGTACGTATCACACCCAGGCTGTGGAAGGAGGCACTAAGAACACAATGCTACTACTGTGTATAGTATTGAATGTTTGTATTTCTGCCCAGCCTCAGTACCCAGGGATTCCCACTCTACCTGCGATTACAATACCACTGCTGATTATTCACATCACAAAAGCGACCATGCTTCGCTTGAGCGACCTCGACTAGAGTTGTTTCGCCCGAGTGGCCCGGGGTACGCAGGCTAGGTGTGACATCCTTTACACTTAGTGGGACCCACATCAGATGTCTATACCTCAGATCCTGTCTCTACACAGTAGCAGTGCAGGACGGTTTGCGGATATATTTTACAACTGTAACAGAGGATACATGACTAATTAGATCAACTCCTCCATGGATGTTGGAACGTGGGGCGTTTTGTGGGATTAGTTTCTTCACTTCCACTGGATATTTGACAGATGTTTGATGGACAGTTTTATGAGATAGAGATGTTACACAAATGATTGACTAGTGTATAATGATGGAAAGGAGACTTTACGATTGTGGAATTACTACAAGTCTTTGTCTGTGAAAAGTGTCCTTATTCGTTCTAATACAAGTATGGTATGAGAAGCATATTTTCTTCTGAAAAAATCCTGAAAAAAATTGTTAAATGCAGAAAAGAAAAAAACATTCTTGAGATCTAGTTTTGTAAGTTCGGACGTGGAATATTAACACCGGTGGCCATGGGTACCAAGTTTTCACGTCTGGTTGAGGTCGTGAATAAAGCACGAAACCAAAGGAACAATTCTACATCTAGAATTCCTCCGTCGGAGAGCTCTGCCAGTACAGCAGGTAGGGTTAGAGGTCACAGGTCACTAGAGTAAATGATACAAGGTCATTGGGTCATTGGGTAAAGGTCATAAGGAATGGATAAAATCACAGGGTCATAGGGTTTAACTCCTGAATCATTAAATAAAGATAACTGGGTCATTGTAAAAGAAATAAGGTAAAGGTTATAAGGTCATAGGTAAAAGGTCATTTGATCCTGTCTAGGAGGTTTGTGGGAGAAATGGTCACAAGAACATACAGCGAACATAGAATTATGGAAATTAAATGTCATTATATTACATGTAAAAATGTTATAGAAGGAATTATTTGTGTATAACACAGAGGAAATATTATTGACCTTATATATGTCATATATAGGTCATAGGTCATGACCAGTACACATTTGAGGTCTATTTATTTCACAAGGCAACAGAAATATTGAGGGTGTAAATGAAAAATGGATATAGGGGTATTCACTGCCATGACACTGACTGGGGTTAATGGATACAGAGACCTTGACAGTGTCACAAGGGACAGCAAACATAAGCTATATTGGGATCCCAGCTTCAGAGTGTTGGTGATACACAAGCACAATTGTTTACCCCTTGTTCTAAAACAAATTAGATAGATTAATATCATAAAATAGTTTAATTTACAGCTGATCACATCATATTTTTTTTTGATTATGGGTCATTGTCAAATAGGAGTTATAATGTCAGTGGTTGGTAGATTTTGCACATGTTTCCTCCTCATGGAAGATCAGAAGGTTGACAAGTAAAAATATGATAAAAGTAGACTTATATCTTAAATAAGATTGCCGTTAATTCATTGGTCCATTGCTTTTTCATAATGAACACTTAAAACAATGCTTACATGTTGGTAGAAATTCTTTAACCCTTTCACCCTTATAAACTTTAGTAGACTCTACTATGCATTGATTTGGATGAGTCCATTATGGTCTATAGTGGTGAATGGGTTAAGTGTTCAAAAGAAAAACATATTTGCTAAATATGGTTTTTATAAGTTAACTTAAGATCCTCTATAGTTTGTTACTGACATCTGTACAGAAATAAGACAGATTCACATCCTTTAAAAATTACTGACCCCCTGTAAGTCCAGCCTGAGATGTGCATTGGCCATATCTCCATTGAAAAACTTTATATCTACCCAGCACATGCCATATCTACCCTGCATGTGCCATATCCTGTCAAGTGTTGGGATCACTAAAATGGAGAAGCATCATATTCGTGACAGGGTCAGTAATGTAGAAATAGAATAAGGTGTTCGGGATCTATTGCACAAAGAATCATCACAAAGGCTGGAGTTTCTGAGGATGTTAGACTGGATGTAGCACCACAGGGGTGGAGTTAAGGATGGTTTTAAGAATTAAATATTCACAGGGGCTTGAGTTAAGGATGGTGTTAAGAATTGAATCTTCATAGGGGCTGGAGTTTAGGAAGGTGTAAAGAATTAGATCTTCACAGGGGCTGGAGTTTGGAATGGTGTTAAGGGTTGAACCTTCACAGGGGCTGGAGTTTGGGATGGTGTTAAGGATTGAACCTTCACAGGGGCTAGAGTTTGGGATGGTGTTAAGGATTGAAGCTTAACAGGGGCTGGATTTTAGGATGGTGTTAAGGATCAAAGCTTCACAGGGGTTGGAGTTTGGGATGGTGTTAAGGATTGAAGCTTCACAGGGGCTTGAATTTGGGATGGTGCTAAGGATTGAAGCTTCACAGGGGCTGGAGTTTGGGATGGTGTTAAGGATTGAAGCTTAACAGGGGCTGGATTTTAGGATGGTGTTAAGGATCAAAGCTTCACAGGGGTTGAAGTTTGGGATGGTGTTAAGGATTGAAGCTTCACAGGAGCTTGAATTTGGGATGGTGCTAAGGATTGAAGCTTCACAGGGGCTGGAGTTTGGGATGGTGTTAAGGATTGAAGCTACACAGGGGCTGGAGTTTGGGATGGTGTTAAGGATTGAAGCTTCACAGGGGCTGGAGTTTGGGATGGTGTTAAGGATTAAAGCATCATGGATTGACAGGCATATATGTGTATAGAATGGGTGATGGCCTTCCCAAATACAAGCCTGTCCCGACCTGGTAATCATTGATCCTATGCCAGGCTGCAGTGTACAGGTTGTTAGTGGATCAATGCCAGACCCTGCCATCGGGAACATTTTACCTCACGCTGACAAAGCACCAGAATGTCAGGGAGTTCCTGTTGAAATATTTCAAAATGCTTTTATCCTCGTCAAAAAAAATCCATTTTTGAATTATCCTTCCAAACATTTTTCTTATACATACGTATATATATACATCTTTTCTCTAGGTCTGGTTCTCGGTATTATTGCATTTGATGGATTTTCGATTGCAGTATTAAAAAAACACTGCTGTAGTTCTGGGCGAAACTGTACTCATCCCCACTCTGCCTATCATTTTCACTCAATAAAGCTACTAGCATGTGCCAGATAGGTTCAATGGAAATTTATTCAGGTGGTTTTTGTGGCTCTCAGTGCGATATATCTAATAGCAGGAGGGAAAGTATTATTTAGTTCAACAAGCCCAATCATGATGCCAGCATATTGATTATAGTGTGCTGTTGGACAGGACCACCACTGACATCAACTGAGCCGTTCTCCCAGGCTCCATGTCATGTTCAGCGTCAATGATGTGTGAAAAGTTTGATTTTTTTCTCCCCGGCTTTTTATGATGTTATAACCATCCTCTTCTATTAGATTGTTAACCTCGCCAATTAGACTTGTTACAAGTTCAAACAATGTTTTTTTTAATCTGTCAGTCAGACGATCAATTAATGTACGGGTAGTTTAGCCATATCCAGCAATCTGGTCAGGAAAATGAAACAAAAAGGGAATGGCCATGGTGAAAAACAAAACGGAAGTTTGCCATTGGAGAACCATACATTTCTGTACACACATCTAGTAAACAGTTTACCTCTAATAATTACGGGGGTGTTTTTTTTCTTCATCCTTCTCATCAACTAGCTGTGGCATTTAGAACTCGCTAATGGAAATAAAATTATTCAGAATACAAAAAAAGGTTAATGGAAGGAGATTAAATTAGCAAGAATTTGATTTCTATCCCTTTTTTTACCTGAGCAAGTTCAATGGGATTTGATGACGTATATTTGCCATCTGCACCTACAACAGTTGCCTTTGTTTTCTTGCAATGTTTACCAATATTTGATGTTAGATAAATAGCCTATCAACAAAGAAATTTTCTTTTTTATCCATAATTATTTATTCTTGGTCTGTCTTTAAGTATTTTTCACCCTTTGCCCCATGTAAGCACCTTTTGACACCTCTAGGGTACGCACCAGACGCTGGTAAATAACAAGACAGACCAGGGTACCTTGTTTAGACTCATATTCCCTCAAAGAGCATATGTCATGTTTTTATTATTTACCCACCAAGGCACAAAAATGAAGCCTAAAGTTTATTTTTTCCACTCCGAGTTTGATTTCATTATAAGTAAAACGTTAAATCATTCCGAAAGATTGCATATCACGTTTTATCATGTACACTCAATGTACAGAAACAATTGTATTTAAAACCCGGGCTACTACGGTTCCTGTTCATATCAGTTGTAATAACGTGTTCCATAATTGTTGTAAAATAAGTAAAGATTTATAACTAAATACCTTACTATAATGTCTGTTTTTCTGTCCCACAGAAACCGGTCATGATCCAGCCGTCCATGGAGCTCGTATGGAGGACAGGTTCTACAACAACGACGCCTTCAGGGTAAGTCATACGAAATACCGGGAAATTATAGCTGCAGTTTGATTATTTGTGTTATTTGCTGCCTTCTGCAATGAAGTCAAATTTATCAATTCAGCAATCAGTAAGCAATATAATAAACATAACGGTAATCAAATGTGAAGGGCGAAAATTGACATAGGGCGAAAACTGACATAGGGCGAAAAATTGACATAGAGCGTAAATTGACTTAGGGTGAAAATTGACATAGTGCAAAAATTGACATAGGGCGGAATTGAAAATTGACATAGGGAAAAATTGACATAGGGCGAAAATTGACATAGGGTGGAATTGACATAGGACGGAATTGACATAGGGCAAAATTGACATAGGGCGAAATTGACATCGGGCGAAAATTGATTTCATTAGCATTAAGGGTGAAAATTAGACTGGGCGAATGTTTCCTTGTATAGGCCTGTTATTGTTTGCAATAAGTTAGAGGAAATATTAAATAGAAAGCAAATAAGTGTGACATACTGAAGAAACTATGTGTCTCTCTTTCTAGATTGCTGTACTGTTCTTCTAGTTGTGTGTCTCTGAAATTATTATTTATGAAAAGCTAACTTTTCTTTCTGTAACAAACACATACTTGACATTGTCTTAAAATAGTGACTTCACTTGATGATGTGTGGTGATAAGTATCAATATTCATTAAACATACTTAAATGTATAAAAAAAATCTAAGAATAGAATATGTATCTACATGTTTTAGTCGTACAGGTCTATCAAAAATGTTAAAATATATATATATATAGTTTTCAAATAATAAAGACAGTATGATACAATTTATAAGGATCCCAAAAAACATGTTAACGTTTGTTAGAAGCGTATTGCTTAAATATATACTGTATACAATTGTAACAGGAGAGGAAAAATGCACGGCAAGACCGGGGTTCGAACCTGGGACCTTCAAAACTTATAGACGGATGTTCTATCAATTGAGCTATCTGGTCGCCGACGATTGACCCAGTTCAGTTCCACTATACAAATTTAAGCAAAGAAGTAATATTGACAGTGCAGACAAAGGTTTTTTGTCAAATTTTGGAAACAGTATGCCCCTTTTGTTTTTTAAATTTATTATACATGTATATGACTTATAATGGAACATCTGTTATATGGTCCAATACTCTGGCCTTCGTTTGCATGCACTACTTTAACACAGCCAATAGACTTAGGGTCGGTGATGATTATTTACACAATAACAATCCTCACTAATGGCCACGATGTCAATAACACAGATTAACGACTATTTAAGTATTGTTTGTCATGTTATGACTTCGGCCGGCAGTATAGATTTGAGTATTGTTGTAATACCAACCCTGAGCTGTTGATGCTAGGGGTCATTAACAAAATGTGTGCATTAGCCCCGAACTCTTCATCTGACACGACTGATCAGCTACGGACAAATTGTTGATTGATTAAAATGATTGGAGATGTTGGGGTTTACTATTTCTATTGTACACGGAAAAGATAGGAAATGGAAGGATATTAAAAAAAAGGTGATAGAAACCTACTTGTATTCTTTAAGTCGCTATTTTAGGGCAGTGGGGGGGGGGGGGGGGGGGGGGGGGTAATATGTCTCCTTTAGGTCACTTATACATATTAGGGTAGGAGGGACGGGTAATATATCTCCTTTAGGTCACTATGTTAGGGTCATGGGGCTGGGGGGTAATAAATCTCTGTTGGGTCACCCTGTTAGGG